CCCCGAGTTCAAAGCCCAGGCTCTGAACCGCCCCACTTAGGGTTATGGGATGAAACAAGATGTGCAGGGAGCCCCTGTGCTGAGCTTGCAGCCCTGGAGGATGACAGTTCATGAGGGAGACGAGGGCTGAGTGGACTGATTCTGTTTCCTGGTTCCTGCTGCCCCTGCATGAGCCACCCATGAGGCCCCCTGCAGGGCTGAGTCACCTTTGGGTGAGTCACCTCCCAGGGCCTGGTCCCTCCAGCTTTGGACAAAGGTGCCTTTTGGATGCTAAGCCCATGTGACCTCCCTGAGGCGCCAGAGTTACACTAATCCTCTTGGAGCCCTAGGGGGTAGGCCTGCCTTGTGGTCATCGGGGCCTGGCTGGCTCAGGACTGAGGATGGGCACAGAGCTTCACATGACTGGTAATAACCACCTTTGTGTGTGCACTGCCCTCTACAGCTTGCAGTATGCATTGGTCTCTGAGGGAGGGAGGTGCAGGAGGCACATCACCCTCCTTGCATTGTATTTGTTTTATTTAAACATTTTTTTCTTTATTGATTTTAGAGAGAGAGGAAGGGAGAGGGAGAGAGATAGAAACATCAATGAGAGAGAACACTGATTGGCTGCCTCCTGCATGCCCCCCACTGGGGATTGGGCCCACAACCTGAGCATGTGCCCTGACCGGGAATTGAACCGGTGACCTCTTGGGGCATGGGTCGACGCTCAACCACTGAGCCACACTGGCTGGGCTCATTGCATTTGTTTTAAAAGGTAATATATTTGTTTAACAAGCACTTATATCACACTAGGTGCGAGGCGATGGGGAATTGGAAGGGGACTGCTGTTTACTGAGCCTCCACGAGGCTCCAGGCACATTCTGGAAGGTTCCTATGTAATCGCCAAAACCCTACTGGGAAAGTGCAATGATGCCCACTTCTCAGATGGCCAGACTGAGGTCCTGGAGGAGAAGTGGCCATCTGGGTCACATAGGGCATACGGGAGGTGGAAACACAGGTATGCATGACTCTTGAGGTTCCTGTTCCCGGAGCCCTTCCAAGACCCTAAAGACAGTGGAGCATAAGGTGGACCAGGCCCTGGGCTGAGGCGCCCCCTCACGGCCCTCATGGCTTTTGCAGACTTGCTACCACAAGGAGCCAGTGGAGACCCGGGATGACGAGGACACAAATACTGAGTGCCTACTGTGTGCCAGGCCCTGTTCTCTGCACTTTGCATGATGAAGTCACTCGCCCCTCACAACATCCTTTTGAGCCCAGGTTGTTCCAGGCTCTGCCTTGATACCAAAGAAACAGGGGCTTGGAGAGAACCTGCATCAGAATTCAAACTCAGCACCCAGCTTCTGAGCCTGTCCCATTAGTGTGCCCATGGCAGATGGGGAAACTGAGTTCCAGAGAGGGGCTGGCCCAGGAGCCAGTGGTGACGTCGGCAAACTTGATGTCAACCATTCCTGCCATCAGAGCCCCCACCACCTCCAGGGAAGAAGGAGGAAGGATCTCCCCACAGAGTTCAGGAAACTCATTTATTCTCACCCTGACATGAGCAGGCCTTGGCAGGGAGAGAGAGAGATACCCCCTCACTCCAGAGGAGTTCTCAGGGGGACCTAGTGGGGACAGGGAGGAGGTAGTATCAATAAACACAGAGATAGGACCTAGGCTGCAGCTGGGGGCTGAGAACAGGAGGACTCGGAGAGCTCCTTGTCCAGTCTAAGTAAGAGCATTCATCCATCCATCCATCCATCCATCCATCCATTGACGACACTGGCATCTGTGCCTGTGCTGGGCTAGGAGTGGGGCCCAGGCCTGCTTGGTTTGCCCAGAGCAACACCATCTCATCACGGGCTGCAGAGGACCCTGAGTGGTCCAGAGGAAGAGTTGAGGTTAGTGGTCATTACAGAAAGCTTTCCAGAGTAGCTGACATTTCTGCACGAGTGACCAGTGGAGTCTGGAGAAGGCTAGTCCAGATAGTAGAGATTGTATGTGCAAAGGCCCAGGGGCAGGAGGCTGGGGCAGAAGCAGGACTGAGTTTGGAAAGCAGACCTACCCTGAATGCCAAGGAAGAGGTCGGAGCTGTGTCCCAGGGGTCTTGGAGGGGGCAGTGGTTGCCTCTGAGGGGTGGGAGCAACTGGGAAGGGGCAGAAAGGAACGTTCTGGGGTGATGGAGATGCTCTATATTGAGACAGTGGTGTGGGCTTCATGGCTATATAAAATTGTCAAAACTCAACAAATAAACATTTAAGATTTGTGAATTTCACTGTATGTAAATTTTACCTGGAAAGTAAAGACTGTTAATGACATACATGTCGAAGTGTTTAGAGGGACATGTACTAGTGTCTCCAACTTACTTTGAAATACATAAAAATGTCCTAGCCGGTTTGGCTAGGCGGTTAGAGCATCAGCCCAAGGACCGCAGAGTCCCGGGTTTGGTTCCCGCTAAGGGCACAGACTTTGGCTGCAGTTTGTCCCTGATCCCGGTAGGGGTCATGTGGGTGGCAGACTCTCAATGTGTCTCTTTCACATCAATGTTTCTCTCTCTTCCTCCCTCTCTCCCTCCCGCTCTATCTGAAGATAAATGCAAAAATGTCCTCGGGTGAGGATAAAAAGAAAAAGGGAATACATAAAAAAGATGGATTAACCAATAGATGTATAGATATGTGATAAAGAAATTATAACACAATTTTAATGGTGGAAGTAGCTGGTGGGTGTAAGGTGACAAGTATATGTGTTCACTGTACAAGTATTTCAACTTTGCGGTATGTGTGAACATCTCAGAGTGAATTACAGGGAGAAAGCCTGCAGGTCAAAAGAAGCCCAGCTGCTTGCTGTCTTCACACCAGCCCCACATGTGGAGTCAGAGCCATATGCATCTCCCCGAACCTCAGATCAGTTCATGCCCATTTAACAGATGGAAATAACAAGAGGGACAGAGAAGGGAAGTGGCTGGCTCGAAATCATGCGGTGAGTTGGGGGTTGAGCTGGCTTTGAACCTGGGTCAGCCAGATGCTGAGTCCAGTCTGGGCACATCCTGCCTGCCCAGGACATCTGGAGTGGGCAGTGCCTGTCTTGGAGCTGGAAATTAGATAGATGCCTTTGGGAGTGTTTCCAGTTTGCACACCTGGGGCCTAGCTGGGGTCTCCAGGAATATGCCTAGACCAGGGGCTGATAAACCTCAGCTCATGTGACACCATCCGGGGCTGAACATAGTCTTGGAATTAGCCACAAACCATAAACCCTTGTGGTTTTGGGGCTCAATGCCTGATTTGCAGAGCAAATCTGGATTCCGGCCGCTCATAATTATACGGTGTTTCCCTCTCTGGGTTGGGACTCAGGCTCCAGCTGCTATATAAGGGGCTTGTGACCAGACTCGGCCCAAAGCAGAGGGCCCAGTGAACAGGACCTCTCAAGACTGAGCTGCAGGGACCTCCCAGGGGTAAGGAGGAGCCCCTTCCCTTTCCAGTGTCCAGGTTGACGGGGGAAGCTGAGGTCTGCTGCTTGCTGACTCCAGAAAGCCCCTCATTAAAAGGCCCATCTTTTTAACTGAAGGTGGTGATACCTCTTTGAACGCAAAACTGTGGGTAGTGGGGTTAGGATGAAATGAGGAAGACAGAAAACATTCTCACACATATTAGTCCTTCATATTCTAGCGTAAATGAGTGTCTCTGATACTCTCCTAGGAGCAGATGGGAATGGGGAGAAAAACTCGAGGTTTTGGTGAACTTCAAGAGAAATGGAGGCAGGGAAAAGGCCAGAGGGCGAGTAAGCGGTGGGGCTGAAGCCAACAATTTCACAGTTTGGCCCAGATGGGAGGTGGTGATTCTCCAAGGCTGGTGATGGGCAGGCTGGGATGATGGACTGAGAGAAGTGGGAATTGGCATAAGGCAGCAAAATGAACTTTCCCAGAGGCTGAGCAGTTCACCCCACCAGTCTCAGCCTCTTATCTCGTAACTGAAGACCCACTTCTTAAAGTTCTGAAATAATAGTTTCAAAACAATAACAATAGGTGCTGTGTACTGAGTGTCTATTATATACATGATACAATGTTATGATTAGGTTCAAAAAGGTAGCCTCTTGCCTAAGGGTTACTTACACCCAGATAGCGCTGATCCAGAGCCCTTTATCTTAACCAAATTGTGTAAAACTGACCCCTGCAAAGAAGCTGGAGGGGTGTTTTCTGGGTGGGTGGGTGGGTGAATGGATGGATAGATGGAAGGAAGCATGGAAGGGTGGCTATATGAATGCGTTGATAAGTGGGTGGATTGATGGAAGAGTGAATGGAAGGATGGAAGGATGGATGGATGGATATATGACTGGCTTGTTAGCTGGTTGGATCATGGATAGATGGAAGGATAGATGGATAAGATGATTGAAGAGGGGGAGATGGATGGTTGGGTGAGTAGATGGATGAGTGGGTGAATGAATGGTAGGATGGCTGGAAGGATGGATGAAAGGAAGAATGGATGGATGAACAAGAGGGGGAGTTGATGGTTGGAGTAGATGGGTAAGTGGATGAATGGATGGGTGGATGGAAGGATGGGTGGGTGGGTGGGTAAATAAAGAGGTAGATGTTGGAAAGATTTCCCCAGAGCTTGCTTGTTACCAGTTTGCTACTTTGGTTGGACTCCTCATGACCTATGTCCCTGAAGCTTCATTTTAAAATTTCATCTTGAGGGATAATCAAACATCCATGTTCTGGGACAGTTTAGTTAATGGGTCTGCTTGTATCTCCACATTAAAGTTCAGTTTGAAAACTCAGAAGGTGGTATCGGAAATTCTGGACTCTGCCTCACTGTGTGACTTGGGGCCCTTTTCCCCAGAACCTCTGCTTCCTAATCATAACACATTGTATCAGGTATATAATAGACACTCGATAAACAGGATCCTGATATGACTCTTGGAAGGCGGTGCCTAGCTCCACCTGCTGGCCAGGGTGGTGATGGCCGGCTGCGGCTGTCTGCTACCCTGTCTCCTCAGCACTGTCTCCACGGCAGGAAAACAGCGCCAGCATGTGGACGGCTTGGTGTGTGGCTGCTCTGTCTGTGACCGCTGTGTGTGGCGTGCACCAAGAAACAACCACAGTCCTCAGGGTTACCAAAGATGTGTTGAGCAATGGTGAGTCCATCCCTGCAGGGGGTAGGGTTGGCATTGGGGCGGGCAGGGCAGTCCTGCCTATTCGGAAGTTCCCAAGGATCCTCTTACTCACTGGCAGATTCTATATCGAGTGGATGGGTGACTTCCCTGGGCCTTAGTTTCCCCCTTTCCTTTTGATTACTATTTCCTGAGCACCTACTATGTGCCAAACACCATGACGGGAACTTTAGACATGAGGCAGTAGAGAGCAGGGATTAAAAGCTTGAGTCTTGGAGTCAGTCTTCCTGGGGTTCAAATACTGACTGTGTGACCTTAAGTCTATGACTTGAGTTCTCTGTGCCTCAGTTTACTCATCAGCAAAATGGGTGTAATTACAGTCCCCATCTCAGAGGCCTGATAGGAGAATTAAACAAGTTGACCTTTTGAAAACGTAACACAACTCCCAGTACATAGAAAGCTCTCAAAAGTGGGGCTGTCATTATTCCTGCCTCTACTCTCCCTGCCCCAATTCCCAGCCAAGGCTGCTATGAGAATTAAAAATGAGGCCGTTTCCTGGCTGAGTGTCACCGGCCTCAATTTCTTTATCCATCAAATGGGAACAATAATTCTGGCCTTGACTGATTCCCAGGAATCAGTTGGGGTAATATATGAGGAAGCAGGTTTTTCCAGCTGTGAAGTGTGGAACACTTGGAAGGGAGGGTATGGAAGAAGATTTACCCGGTTTGGCGGAACGCTGTTGAAATCTAGTTAAAGTGTGAGCACGTCAAAGCCAGCAGCTGATGAGCTCCCCGGGGCATCAGGCTGCTGGGTCTGAAGAGTCTTCCCAGGTTGGCATTTCACCTGTGGGAAAAGTGGGGCCCAGAGAGCCGAGCAGTGCTCCAAGGTGGTGCCTGGGGCTGGAAGCGAAGAAAGAGAGGGACCCTGACTGACTCCTCTCTTCTCCGCAGCCATCTCCGGCACCCTGCAGCGGAGCGGTGCCCTCCACTCGGCCCTGGGAGAGGTGCCCGCGGGGAAAGTGCGTAGTGACGGCGGCGGGCCTCTCCTGGGGGGTCTGCTCGGTGGAAATGGAGGTGGAAGTGGTGGGGGAGGTGGTCTGCTAGGGGGTCTGCTTGGTGGTGGTGGTGGAGGGGGTGGCAGTGACCTGTTGGGTGGAGTTGGAGGAGGCTTATTAGGTGGCAGTGGTAGCAGTGGTGGGGGGCTGTTGGGTGGCAGTGGTAGCAGTGGTGGGGGGCTGTTGGGTGGCAGCGGTGGGGGGCTGTTGGGTGGCAGCGGTGGTGGTCTCTTGGGTGGCAGTGGTGGTGGTCTCTTGGGTGGTGGCCGACACCATTATGATGACTACAGAAGCGCTGAATTCCCCCGAGGTGTTGGTGGTGTTCCTTACAATGATTTCCATGTTCGAAATGTTCCCCCAAAATATCCAAATGGCCACCAGCTTGGCGGTAATTACAAGTACGGTCGCATCGAAACCAATGACAACACCGCTCAGCTGGGGGGCAAATACCGGTACGGTGAAATCCTCGAGCCTGATGGAAACGTAAGAGACCTCCGACGTGTTGACTACCGCAGTGCTGAGAGGGCACATGGTGGCCCCAGGGACCTGCGGACGTATAAGTCGGCCGAAGATGTGGCAACTGTGGGCAGGCTTCACCGGCGAGAACTGCGGCCAGGAGAGATCCCCCCTGGGGTAGCCACTGGGGCCCTGGGCCCAGGTGGTTTGCTGGGCACTGGTGGCATGCTGGCAGCTGATGGCATCCTGTCGGGCCAAGGTGGCCTGCTCGGCGGAGGTGGTCTTCTTGGTGACGGAGGACTTCTCGGAGGAGGGGGCGTCTTGGGCGTGCTCGGCGAGGGCGGCATCCTGAGCACTGTGCAGGGCATCACGGGGTAAGTAGGGACCAGGATTTCCCTATCAAGTCCCCTGTGATAAATCTCTAAACAGGGGTGAGCACCCCTAGACCAGGAGCTGGAGGGGGATGGTTTTCCGAGCCTTGTACACTTCAGGGCGTGGCCTCAGGGCTGAATGTCTTGAGAATCTTGTTTCATGGTTTTGGGTCTTGTCGTTAAACAGTCTTGAATTTGAGTCCCCGCTCAACCTTTTGTATTTATGTGTGACTTTGGACCAGTCTTTTCCTCTCTCTGAATCTCAGTTTCCCCACCTGTACAATGATCATAGTAATGCAGTTTAGGTGGAAAAGCCCAAGGATTTAAAATGATACATACAGCGTGGGGAAAAAGTAGGGTTACAGTTACGAGTACGTGAAAGACAGACTTTATTCTTGCATTATTATTTATTAATTATTGTATTATTTTCCATACAAACAGCTGTAAACCTACTTTTGCTCAACCCTGTATATATTATTTCAACTCTGCCTAGCTTCCTCTTCATATTCACGGTTTAATTAAAAAATATTTAGAACTGCTACTCTGGTTTGGGCACTGTGTTGGCATTGGAGACACGGCCCCATGATTAGCCAGGAAGACACATAGCTCTCGTCCTAACGGAGCTTGTAGGCCGGTGCCGTATGTTCCCGATAAAGATCCCTGGAAATAATCATACAATTGCCACAGTGGTAAGAAGTTCACGGAGAAATAAGGATGTGTATCGTGGGGGAGAGAAGGGAGGCTTTTTGGAGGAAAAGGACCTCGAGCTGAAATCTGATGATGTGCAGGAGGGACGCAGGCAAAGAGGGGCAGGGACAAGCCAAAGGGATGGTACCTTTAAATTTAAAACAATCAAAGGAAATACATGGAAATGTAAAGAGTGGGTCCCTGGGCGGTGGGAGGACAGGTCGTGGCATGTTGGCCTTTGTTCTCTGTGTTTTCTAAGTTCTGTCCACGAACCTCAGGTCTCTGTCGAGTCAGGAGGACTCAATGGGGTGCAGAGAAGGGGGGTGCGAGGGAGGGCACTTTCAGGCGAGTGGCAGGGCCCACAGCAGAAGTGACCGCCCTCTCATCGCTCTGGGTCCTTGCAGGCTGCGGATTGTGGAGCTGACCCTCCCTCGGGTGTCCGTCCGGCTCCTGCCCGGCGTGGGCGTCTACCTGAGCTTGTACACCCGTGTGGCCATCAACGGGAAGAGGTGTGTGATCTCTGCCCTGGAGGGGACCTCAGTACCCTATGTCCCCGGCTGGGAGATCCTGGGCAGGTTGTTTCCCTTCCCTTCACTTCAGCCTCTTTGCCCAAATCCGGGGACTAACAGTTCTGATGTATTACCAGCAGGTGCAGGCTTATGCCTCTGGGCTCGGGTCATCTTTAGGTCCCTGCCAGCAGCCAGGGCAGTCTGTGAGGTAGTTGAGATCCGGGAGGCTGAGTCAGGTGGCAGCCTGGGTTCAAATCCTGACTCTTTTAAGCTGTGTGACCTTAGGCCAGTCCCATAATGTCACTGAACCTTAGTGTCTTCACCTGCAACGGGCATTATAACATCTCCTTTTCCAGGTGGCTGTGGCCACAAGAGAGGAAGGCAAGCAGATGCTTCCCTGAATAACACCTGCCTCCTTGTAGGTGCTGATCAGAGGACCTCAGGGGGTGGACTTTTGCACTGATTTCTCCCCATGGATTGAGGTTGTGTTTGTAAAGTGAGGTCACTGGATGCTAACCTTGGAAACCAAAATTTATACATAGAGTTGATATATGAAGCCCTGTTCCCAGCCTTTGAAGCTCGCACAGACTAAGGAGGGACGTAAATTTGTTCACAGATAACTTGAGGGACCAAGGAAGTCTTCTGACTTGGGACCTCCAGAGATGAGCAAGGGGCATAATAGATGCATCATAGATGCAGGGACAGCAAGGGTGAGTGATGCCAGGCAGGGCTGGGCGAGGCTGAGCTGCCTGGAAGCTGGGGTTGACTCTCTGTCTCCCTGGCCTCATGGTCTCCTCCAGTCTCATTGGCTTCTTGGACATCTCCGTGGAGGTGAACATTACGGCCAAGGTCCGGCTGACCATGGACCGCACAGGCTACCCTAGGCTGGTCATCGAAAGATGTGACACCCTCCTGGGGGGTATCAAAGTCAAACTGCTGCGAGGGTGAGTACCAGCGGCCCTGGCGTGCCTTGAGGGATGGTGGAATGGTAAACCGTTTGGTTAAGAGCAGAGGTTTTGGAAGCATCCTGCGGTTCAAATCTCAGCTCCACAAGTCCTTGCTGTGTGACTTTGAGCAATTCTCTTGCCCACTCTGAGCTCCATCTCTTCATCTGTTAAATGGGCGTAATTCTTTTTCCCTTTGGAATTAAAATAATGAATGTAAAGCCCTCGTGCAGAATCTGACACATTTTAAGAGTTTCTGAATATATGTCTAATGGGTTTTATGTCCATTAGTGTCCCAATTCGTGAGAAAATTTCCCAGTTGGTTCTGTCCAGTGCAATCTTAGTCAGGGGTGAGTTTTTTCTATTACATCCTCCCTACAAAGTAGCCAAGTCCCCACCCTCTAACCACAGAGGTTTCGAGTTTCTGTGTATTGGCCAGTACGCTGTCCCCAGGTGATGGTCTGAGATGAGGGCACATCGGGGCAGCTCAGAACTGGGTCCCTTTCGCTTCACTCCCTGGCCCTCATCATGGGAGACCCCTTTCTGGCTTTTCTCTTTGAGGCCTCTGGTTACAATGAATAGCCTTTTACATGTATTTCACACGTGGGCCAATGGGTCTACTGGATAATTTCTCAGAAGGAGAAAACACTCTGTGCCCTGAATGTGTATAGATTAACTTCAAACCATCCCCCCAACACACACACACACATTCTCCTGCACGCACACATGAACACACGTGTGCATTCTCACCAGCCTTGTCATCCAAAGAAAACTGGAACCAAGGCAAGGCCCCTCGAGGTGTGACTCCACTTGAAAAGGAGACCAAAATGCATAGTAAGCTTGGGGGACATGTTCTAATTAGGATTTCATCTCAAGAAATTCTTTGTTTTGTCGAACTGCCATAGCATCAGATGATTAGCTACCAGTTGAGTGGGGGCACAGGTAGGGCAGTGTTCATTGGGGTCAAGGGGGACCCCAACTTAAGGGGTCAAGTTGTCAGTGATACTTTTGTGTTAGGATAGCCATGTTCTCATCGCCACAGGGCCTCGGGAGCCAAGTACTTGCATTGTAAGTCTGTCTGTCCATCCATGTGTCTTTTCTATTCATCAATAATCTCTTTCTCCCTTAACTAACTGGTTAGAGCTGGGCGATGCACTTAGGACTTGGGCTGGGTCTCTTCTCTGGAACTCAGTTTTCTTGTCTGCAGAATGGATCATATCTCCCAATCTTCTTAGCACCAACAACTTGTTTTCTCTTGTGGACCACCTGAGCACACGTTATCAGCCAGTATTTCTCCTTTCCCCCCTTTCACAAGCATTTATTGAGCACCTACTATGCACTAGATACTGTGCTTGGTGCTTGGGTAAAGTAATACATCCATTTTCCCTTTGGGAAGATTACTCAAAGCTGCCGCAAACAGTCCGTTAGAAGAGGGGCAGTGAGTAGGAGGGAATGACATTCGCAGTTAAACATCAGGGACGTCCCAGCCTGGACCTGGCGCATTGCAGAGCTCAGGAAGCATTTTCTTGTTGAATGAGTAAATGAGTAAATGGATGGATGGATGGATGGATGGATGGATGGATGGGTGAATGAATGGTCAATCAAAAAGCCAGAATATCCTGTCTGGCTATATCTAGGGTGAAGGTACACTGCCCTTCCAGCTTTCAGAACAATTGTCCAGCACTAGCGGGTTCTCACTCTTCAGAAAGAGCCTGGGAGAGAACCCCGAGCATAGATAAGCTTGGTGAGCCCCTCCCCAACCTGCTCCTCTCTCCTCAGGCTTCTCCCCAACCTCGTGGACAACTTAGTGAACCGAGTCCTGGCCAATGTCCTCCCTGACCTGGTAAGAACCTATCTGGGAATGGGGAGCAAGAAGCACAGACTTTCTCCGGACTGAGGGGCCACAGCCCACCTCCATCCCTGGGGGCATGCAGGTGACCCAGAGGGAGCCAGGGGCCTGGGGCATGTTCTTGGGGTCTGGGAAAGACTCTGAGGAGCATGGAGGGGACAGATTAGTGAAGAGATAAGGATGGAGCTTGAGAATCACACAGGCCTGAGTTGGAGCCCCAGCTCGGCACTTCCAAGCTGTGTCACCTCTCCGAGCCTGCGTGTTACCATCTGTGGGGAAGACGGGGCCAAGCACAGAGCAAGTCAGTAGACACGAGCTGTCGTCGCAGTTGTGATTCGGGCATGTCCTCTGCAGCCCCTGCACGGTCACCAGGATGTCATGCTTTTTCTCCCCACAGCTCTGCCCCATCGTGGACGTCGTGCTGGGTCTTGTCAACGACCAGCTGGGTCTCGTGGACTGTAAGTTCCTCCCGCCTTGTTTCATTGGCCAGTATCTACTAGTGCCTGATCTGGGCCCAGCCACAAAGGCATGGGGACAGCAATGTCAGGGAAGAGGCCTCAGGGTGGTGAGAGCGCAGACACCCTCAGACCCTTAGAGCACTGTGTGACTGATGCCTTGAGGGAGAGTCTACCTGGACTTTCCTCCTGTCCCCCAACATTTCTCCACAAAGTCTCAGAGGTAGGAGGCGCCAGCCTGGACCCAGAAAGCTATGGCTCTAGACTAGGAGTTGGGAAGTTAGGTTTGAGCCCTGGCCCTGCCTTGGCAGGTGTGTGAAGTTGAAGAGGCTGTCCCCCATTTCCTTGTCTCTAAAATGGGGAGGTCAGCTTCAAGCCACAGAGGGACTGGAGAGTGAGTAGTAGGAGACATGTGGACACTGTCCAGGTCCTCAGAGCCAGGCTGCAACTCCATCCTCTATCCAGGATTTCTGAGTGAACCTTCCTGAAGGCCAGCCTGTCCCATATGGTCAGACGGTTCATGCACTGCATGATTCCAGGCACCCCTTTCACACAGACCACAGCGTAGCAGGTGCACCAGGGCCCCCTATCACATAGATCACAGCGTAGCGGGTGCACCAGGGCCCCCTTTCACACAGACCACAGCGTAGCGGGTGCACAGCCTCTGCAGCCATACAGGGCAGCCCTTTCTGGTGGTGCGCCCATGTCTCTGGGATTCCAGGCAGTTTGAGGAAGGCTTTCCCAGACAGGTAAATTCTCTCCCTTTGTATCCAGAAACAAGGGAGGAAGAACCCAGAGGATGGGGCTATTCATCACAAGCAGTCAGGGAGATGCTAATTCCAATGAGGCACCACACTGTGAAAACCCCAAAACTTCTTGCCCCGTGCACAGGACTTCATAACTTACAAAGCTTATAGATACCCAGGATCTCACTGCCCTTCACAATATAGTCTAAGGAGTTATATTAAGCCTATTTTTAAAATCTTCACTGGAGGCTATTTTTTCATTGATTTTCAGATAGAATGGGAGGGAAGAAGAGAGGGAGAGAGAGAGAGAGAAACATCGATGTGAGAGAGACACATTGATTGGTTGCCTCCCACACGACCCTGACCAGGGCCAGGGATCAAACTACAACCAAGGTACGTGCCCTTAGACCGGAATCAAACCTGCGGCTCTTTGGTCTATGGACTGACACTCTTTACCACTGAGCCAAACTGGCCAGGGCAATGTTAAACCTATTTTACAGAGGAGAAATTCGTAGTTCAGAGAGGTGCTGTGTCTTGCCTGAGGTCACACAGCAAGGAAGAGTCAGAGTTGGAATTCGAACCCAGAACTCTTACTCTTTCCATGGTGTCTGGAGTTAGAGACTTGCTGCCTTGGGTCACAAAGAGGGAAGGTGTCTGGGAGGGTGAGTGGACCTCCCTGTGACTCTCACCTTTGCCTGCAGCTCTGGTTCCTCTGGGGATACTGGGAAGCATCCAGTACACCTTCTCCAGCCTTCCGCTTGTGACTGGGGAATTCCTGGAGCTGGACCTCAATGTGAGTGCCTAAACTTTGGACAAGGGGAGGTGGCCCTCTCCCTGTAGGTGGGGTGGGAACGAGGGTCCCCCAAGGCTTCTGCTGAGTGCCTGGGAAGCAACATTTGAACAGGATCCTTTTATGATTAGAGGAGGCCCTTCTAGAAGCAGTGTTAAAAAAAAAAACCCACTCACAGCCAACACTTCTTAAGTGCTTACTGTGTACCAAGCACATTTCTAATCTAACCTCACAGCAACTGTATGAGGTAGGCACTCTTATTGAGGAAACTGAGGCACAGAGAGGTTAAGCCACTTGCTCAAGGTCACACAGCTAATAAATGTGAACCTGGGATTTGAATCCAAACAATCTGGCTTCTAACTACTAGAGCTACTGCTATAGGCTTGGGTTTCCTGCAGGAATGACTCTGGCCAGTGGTGTGCTTATAAGCATGAACCACCAACTCTCATGATTAAAAAGTCCTGATTTCTATGGTATAAATGCTCCCACCTTGGCCAATTTCAAGCTACCAACATGACTCACTGAACACAGAGTTGGGAAGAGATCGTGGACTCAGCACTTGTGGGCTGGTGTGAGCTGGCTCCAGCGCACCACTGAATCTGGTCCCTAACCGCGCGGGGCACACACATCCGTACTGCCCTGGGCTGCACGAACATGGGCGCTTCCCCATGTGCTCCATCAGAAACAGAGCACAGGTGCACACCCATGCTCTCATGTACACAGCACACCTGTGCACTGCATACACGCACACCTAGTATATTCATAAACACTAACCATTTGAGAAATATTTGTTGGTTACCTGCTGGGTGTCAGGATCTTGGCTAGGGCTGGAGGTACAGTGTTGCATGAGACAAGATTTCTGTCCAGATGGAGCTTGCAGTCTATTGGAGGGGACAGGCCACACAAGAATCACTCAGACAGATGTACTAGTATAGATCATGAGCACTGTGAAAGAAGGTCCCAGGCCATCAGAGCCTAAAGCAGGGATCTGATGTACCCAAGGAGGTCATGGAGGGCTTCCTGAAGGAGGTGATACGAGATGAGACCTTCAGGATGATTGGGACACACAAGAGAAGAGTGTGGGAGAGGGATCAGTATGTGGGAGTCTCCACAGAGGGGGTGCTGAGGGGTAGCAGCGACTGACAAGGCCCTCCCTCGTGGCTGTTTTTCAGGGGTGGGGTGAGGGGCAGAGTGGCTCAAAATGAGGTAGAGAGGCCCCTGGGGCAGACCATATGGTGCCTTGTTGGCCATGAAGAAGAGTCTGGTCTTTAGAGAGTTGATACACCAATGTATATGGTGTGGGTGCATAAACATGCTAACTCACAGCAGGGCTGAGGAGAAAGGATCTATGTCATACATGCATTTAAAATATGTGGTGATATTTCATGGCTATCATTATAAATGGTCATAAAGTGGGAACTGTAGGAGATCCCTTTTATCACAGATTGAAAAAGATCTCAAGGCCATCAATGAAAGAGTCACTCAGATCCAGTGAGTTTAATCAAGGAAGGCTGCCTGGAGGCAGATTCAGGGCCTCACCCAGCCTCCAGACTCCTTCCTCAACTCTTCTCCCTGCACTCCTCTCTGTGACCCCTTTCCTCTCTGCTTCCCCAGACTCTGGTTGGGGAAGTTGGAGGGGGACTTGTTGACTACCCCCTGGGGCGTCCAGCCATGACTCCCAGGCAAAAGATGCCAGAATTGCCCCCCATGGGCGACAACACCAACTCCCAACTGGCCATTTCTGCTAACTTCCTGGGCTCGGTGCTGACTCTCCTGCAGAAGCAAGGGGCACTGGATATTGACATCACTAATGGCATGGTGAGTCACGGCCCCGTGCGGGGGTGGGGCAGGCCGGTGGCAAACAGCTTCCAATTGATCCAGTAGTTCCAGGGCCTTGGGGAAATTGCTTTAAGGCGAGAACTATAGACAGTCCACCCCTTGGCTCATCTCCAGTTCATGAATGTGCAACAGTTAAGGCAGTTTACCAAAGCATGGTGCCCGGGAAGGTTTCAGGTGACGCAGACATGGCATTAAACAACATCAGATCATGGTGAAAAGTTTCTCACTATTCAATTTTCTTTCATTTTATTCCAGCCCTTTGTAAAAAGCATAATATATATACATTTATATGTATCTCCATATGAATGTTTAGAATCCTTTCATCTGGCAAACACTCATGCTAAGGAACTAGAAGATACGTAAGAATAAAATATTCTTAGGTATGCTCCAGACTCATTTTCTCTCCCAACCTTCTGTTCTGAAAAATTTCCAGCCTTCAGAAAAATTGCAAAACAGCACATGAGCGCCCAAATAGCCTACCATCTATCTGTCTGTCATTGAACAATCTGAGTTTTTCAGAGACATCATGACATTCCACTCCATAAACTTCAGCATGTCTCTCATAAGAACAAGATGTTCTCTAAAAAGACACCATGTGAACTATGTCACTCTTGGATTCCATCGAGAAGAAAGGCTCCATGCGGTGCCAGTGTACAGTTAACCCTCTCTTGTTCCTTGAAGTGTCTCTTTTTAACTCAGAACAGGACACACACCCGTAGCCCTCCACAGACAGCAATATCCACGTGGTATTGGCATTGTTTTATTTATGTTGCATTTAGTTGTACAATTGCCATGTCTGTCAAAGGGACAGACGTTTTTAGTATTTGAGGTTTTAAAAAGTAAGCCGATTTAAAGGAGATATTAAGTAGACAAAGTACAGGTGGTTCAGGGGTATTGCAGAATCATGCATTTAGTGGACACTGGGTTATGCACATGGACTCACTGATGCCCACTTTGTTTCAATAAAGAATTACGTTTTTAGAGGACAAAGAGCTAGGTCTTCCTCCTTCCCTCTAAGTCATGCCTGTGGTAAGCTTAAGTGGCCGGCCTTGTCCACTTAACCACAGAACAGCTGCTGTGGTCTATGGTGGCTGCGCTAGACAGGTAGGACCTCCTTCAGGGGTCTTTGAGGTGGAGAAGATGCCTCCCCTGGTCCTTTGAGAGCACGTAGAAGTTAATCACCATGTTAGCAACTTCTTTCTGTCCCCATAGTCTGAGGGACTCACATGACTCTTCTTGTCCTGCAGTTTGAAGAGCTTCCTCCACTTACGACATCCACGCTGGGAGCCCTGATTCCCAAGGTATGCAAGGCGGGCGTGTCTCCTTATGTCAGCCTCACCCTGCTCCCAGGATCTGAGTCGGAAGGGAAGACACTTAGCACTGGGGTGGGGTGCTCTGACTCCACCCCCTTGGGGGTGCAATAAAAAAGGCTTGGAGGCCAGACCCTTATGAGAGAGGGGCATGGAGGGTTGAGGTGGAAAGATCCTAAGCTCTAGGTATGGACTGGCCTGCACTGGTCTAATCCTGCCTTGGCTCCTTCCTTGCTGCCTCGCTGTGTGTCTTCAGGTAAGCATCTTAACATCTCTGAGCCTTAGCTTCCTCATCTGTCAGAAAAGGACGCTAACTCCTATTCCACAGGCTCATCTAGAAGGGTAAAGGTAGGTGCATGGTGGCTTCAAAGGGACAAAGCCTCTCTTTGGAGCAGATAGACATGAATCTGAATTCTAACTCAACACATTCCAACCACAAAACCTTTGGCAAATGATGTCTTCTCTCTGAGCCTGTTTTCTCATCTGGAAAACGCGCAACAGTGCTCACCTCACAGGGTGGCCGTAGCCCTGGGATTGGAATCTAGGCACAGAGTAGGTATTTGATAAATGTTAACTACCCTTCTTCTTGTTAATGATAACAAATTATTTAAACAATAAAAGAGCAAGTGCACGCTTGTCGGATTAACGGCCAGAGGTAGTTGGAGCAAAGGCCTCGCTTGTCTCAGTTCTCATCCCAGCCCTGGTCCCAGGCCTATTACCCTGCACCCGGGGGCAAATAGCATAGTTAGTGTTATACAGGCGGGAGGCACTGCTGTACTCTACAGCCATGTTAGACATTTTCATCTCTTTTTTATTTTATTTTATTTTTATTTTTTATCCTCACCCGAGGACATTTTTCCATTTTTTGTCCAACCGCTTAGCCAAACCAGCCAGGGCTCATCTCTTTTTTTAACTGTCTTATCTAGTTGGGTGGAATTCAAAGGAGTCAGGAAAGGAGGCCAAACTCAACAAATGGTTACTCTCGCCCTCGTGTGGTCAAAAGCTGAATGGCAGAGCACCGGGGTCTATTGTCATAAGCAGTGGCAGCTCCCAGGAGGCAGATGGACCCCTACCCCTGGACTTTTATTTACTGAGCCACTTCTTATGAGCATTGCACTTCAGTTTGTGAATGGTTTTAAGAATTCCCGCCCTGGCCAGTTTTGCTCAGTGGTTAGAGCGTCGGCCTGCGGTCCGGAGAAACCTGGGTTCGGTTCCCGCTAAGGGCACGTACTTCGGTTGCAGTTTGTCCCCAGCCCTGGTTGGTCGTGCGGGTGGCAGCCACTCGATGTGTCCCTTCACGTCGATGTTTCTCTCTCTCTCTCCCTTCCTCTCTCTCCCTCCCACTCTATCTGTACAAAAAATGGAAAAATATCCTTGGGTGAGGATAAAAAAAATAAAAAGAATTCCCCCATATATGGGCCCAGAAGAGAGAGCCCATCTTACAGAAAGAAACAGAGGCTCGGGAAGTCATACAATGTGATAATGGCAGAACTGGGCTAGTGCAGGCCCTTGGGCCTTGAAAGGGGGCTGGGTCTGCAGCAGGGGGATTCAGGTGAGACACTGAGGAGTGTCTCCTGGAGACCCAGGCTGGGGTAAGGCACCAGGAGAGGCTTGACAAGAGCTAATATGGGCCTCCCGAGTCCCCTGCAGCTGCGGGGACAGAGTTCGAGGCAGCTTCTCCGTGTCCCTGGGAAGGCTGCTGTTGCTAACCCTTAGGCTCTGTATGTTGGGTGGGGGGTGGTTCGGACACCAGGCCCTCAGGAAGTATTCTGAAAATCCCTTTGTGAAAAACCAATTCACCAAATTATTGATTTGTGGAAAGCCACTTTGCCAAAGGGTGAATTCACTGAGTGGTTAATTGGCTGAATTGACGAAATTTGCCGATAGATCAAGGGATTGTTCAAAAGACTTTCACCTTGAATGTGTTCAAGAAAATGAATGAAATCTGCTTAGGGCCAGGACCCACACTACTGCATTATACACGGAACAGTTTTCAGTTAAGTGGATTTTTTAAAAAGTAACTATGGTTTTTCTCATATATTTATGCTTATTTAATATATTTAAGAAAAATGTTTCTTAAAATAAAGTTTTTGGTAAATCAGTTGTTTAGCAATTATGGGGAACTGGTCATTTGATGAGTTGTTCCTTTAGCAAATTAGCTTTTGTAACAAACTGGCTCAGATCCCTCTCGCTATGGGTCTCCAGAGACCCCAGCAAATCCTGGGCAGGCTGTGCCTTGCTCCATGACTTCACGGTCAGACACCCCAAATCGTGGCCTTGCTCCAGGACTTCACGGTGAGACACCCCAAACTGTGGCATCTAAAGGGAGCAAGGGCCTGGGCTTCTGAGTGACATAGACCTGGGCTGGAGTCTCAGCTCTCCTGCTGGCTTTGGACAGTTTGCTTAGTGTTTCCCTCTGAACCTCAATTTTCTAATCTGTAACATGGTGAAAAAATACCCTATGGATGTTGGGATAATTTAGCGACATTGTCAATGTCCAGGTGATTCCACTGTGCTTAGTACCAGGTTTTGAGCATTTTCATGCATCAGGAATTGAGCTTGAATCTTTGCTGGCCATCATCACTTAATTCTCACAGGGCAGCCCCTCACTCAAATCCAGGAGCAGGTTGGAGCCTTTACGAGTGGTTTGTAAGACTCAAGTGATGTTGTTGGATCTGAAATTGCCAGTGTGAGACCCCCCACTACCCAGGGCCCTGCTCAGTCTGGCCTGGTGTCTACCCACAGGTGTTCCAGCAGTACCCCGAGTCCCAGCCACTCACCATCAGGATCCAGGTGCCGAACCCACCTTCAGTGACACTGCAGAAGGACAAAGCGCTGGTAAAGGTGTTTGCCACCTCTGAGATTGTGGTGTCCCAACCCAATGACGTCGAGACCACTATCTGCCTCCTCGATGTGGTGAGTGTCTGGGGGTGGGAGTGACCGACTGCATGGTCTCTTGGAATTCACAGACACCTTCAAACCTCTACAGTCCCCCCCTCCCCAATGACTGTAAGCTTAGCTATGGGGCCAGATGATCTGATTCAAATCCTGTCTTTGCACTGCTAGCTGTGAGACCTTGGGCAAGTCACTCCCTCTCTCTGGGCTTGATTTTTAGCTCTACCACATGAGTGAGGCAGCAGAACATTATTAAGATGCTCAGAGCAGTACTGATATTTTTTAAGGGCTCCAAAAGTGTTGGTTACTATTATTCTCACAGGTTTATACCACAGTGCGTGGCAAAGTAGGCTGGTCATGCATTCAGCAATATTTATTGTGTTTCTTCTATGTGGTATGCTTTCTACTAGATACTGGAGGAAGGGGAAACTAGACAGAGGATATTGGCTCTCTTGTCCCTGGTACATAGCAGGGAATAGATACAAAGTGATTTCCACAACTATTTTATAGGGAGGAATCCCCTTAAAATCACGTTGCTCCCTTTTTCAAAATGCTTTCAATCAATCCTGGGTTAAATCAATCTCCTCACAATGGCCCACAAAGTCCTTCCAGATCACCCCCTGGTGACCTTTCAGCTCCACAATCTTCCCTCCAACATATCAGGCACAGTCCCACCCCAGGGCCTTTGCACATACTGTTCTCTCTGCCTGGATGCTCTTCCTCCAGATATCTGTATGGCTCACACTCTGCTTCCCTTTAGGTCTCCACTCAAATCTCACCTCCTCAGAGAGGTCTTCTCTGACCACCTGTCTAAAATATTCCCACCCTTGCCATCGCTCTCCCCCTTGCTTGACTTTGTTTGTACCCTTAACCTGACATTATAAAATGCACTTGTTTGTTAGTTTATTGCTGGGCAAAGATGCTCATTGTTTTCTTCACTGCTGGATCCCCAGAGACGAGCATAGATAGGGCGCGGCACATACTAGGTGTTTAGTCGATATTTGTTAAAGGAATGCATCGCATGAAGCGCCATTTCCCCCTCCGTGGTTAAAGCTTTGGTCTCAGACATTCGGTGTCTGCTGTGTCTTCCCAGTCTCTCTGCCCAGGGCTGAAGACCAAATGAGCCCCTTCTAGACTGGGAGGTGGGAGCATGCTAAGCCCCAGTATGGGGGAGGGGCCTACATCAGCAGATGAGAGATCCAAAAGGGTGATTCTCACCCTGAGTGGAGATGGCTGCCCCTGATTTAGTCCCTTGTTGACTCGTCCCTACTATGTGGAGATGTATTCATCAACAGCCCACATGTTTGTTTGTCCAGCTCAGAACACTGCCATGACCCAGTGTGCCCAGATGCAGCCCTGAGTCCTCCAGCTCACTGCCCCTGCCCGGTCTGGCTCCTTCCTTGAGCTCCTCTCTGTCCCTCTAATGCCACCCTCTTTCCTGCCCCGGGGTCTTGCACATGCCCTTCCCACTGCCTGGACCACTCTCACACTCTTCTTCATCTGGCCAAATCCTTCCTATCCTCCAGGCTCAGTTCAAAAGCCATTTCCTCATGAATAGATGGAATGATTTGCATGCCCAGTCAGTCCCTGCCATGGGTCCTCAGAGCTTCTTCTCCAGCATCCCAATGCTTGTTATTACTGTTATTGCTAATAATGTCACCTGAATTTGTTAGGAGTTTTATTTGTTTCGTAAGAATATTTTATTTTATTTTATTTTATTTTATTTTATTTTATTTTATTTTATTTTATCTTATTTTAGGGAGGAGGCAGAGAAGCAGAGGGATTTTCCTACAAGGCTTCTGCTTACAGAGGGGGATGAATCTGGACCTTTTATGCCCTCTCATGGAGGTGGGGTGGGGGTGGAGCAATTATGATCGACAGTGATGATGCCCAGTCCCATCTGCAATGGCTTATCTGAAGCAGGTTCCCTAGGCTGCAGCCATCCCACCCCCTCTGAGACAGCTGGGAGAGGCTTGCAAACACCCCATGCCAGTGGTTGGCTTCTGTGACAGTTGTCTTTCTGAGAAGTGTTCACTCAGCCCTTGCTGTGACTGGTGAACAACAATTGAGGGCAGTTTATTGTTCCTAAGCCCTCCCCTCCAGAGGGGGGAAACCCATTACATGGTGAGGTTACCGGTGGTCTCGCTTATAAAAGGAGGTTTGACCAAAACCTCAGTGTTAAGGGAGCACCTAGCCAGCGCCTGGCACACAGTGAGCCCTCAGCAGGCAGTGGCCAGTATATGGTGAAGTGACGTTTCCTTCTCCTTCCCTTTCCTCCAGGACACAGATCTGCTGGCCATGTTTTCTGTGGAGGGCGATAAGCTCATGATTGACGCCAAGCTGGACAAGTAAGGGGGTTTGCGGCCTGGGGCTCCTGCCCCTCAGAAAGGCCGCTCTGGCCCTGCCATGCTGGGTGCCAGCTCAGGAGGGACACCGGGAGGGCTCGGAGGGCTCCTGGCGTGGCTCTCAGCGCTGGGTAAACCAGCAGGCTGCGAGGTGAAAATGGGCGGAGACTGCAAGAGCCAGGCAGGGATGGGGAAGCCGTGAGCTTAATAGAAGGAACCCACCGCCACGAATAACAACGTCAATAATCACAATGATGCCAGTGATGACGATGTGCAGGCTCCGAACCAGGGGCTTGTCGGCGTTGTCTCGTTGAGCCTCCCAGTGGTCCTGTGGAGCGGGGCTTCTATTCTCCCGTTTAATTTTTATTTAAAAAATTATTTTTCTTTATTGATTTTTTTAGAGAGAGAGGAAGGGAAGGGGAGAGAGAGACAGAAACATCAATGAGAGAGAACATCGATTGGCCACCTCCTGCATGCCCCACACTGGGGTTTGGCCCACAACTGGGCATGTGCCCTGACCGGGAATCGAACCCGCAACCTCTGGGTGCATGGGTAGTGCTCAACCACTGAGCCACACTGGCCGGGCTCTATTCTCCCATTTTAAAGAGGAGAAAACTAGGGTGCAGAGAGGTGGGTTTACTTACTCAGGGCCACACAATGAGTACAGAGAAGGGCTGTGACCGCTGACGGGCTGTGTGACACAGGCCGAGTGATCTTGCCTCTCTGAAACTCAGTTTTCTCATCTGAAAACGGGGATGATTGTCCCCACCTCATAGAACTCATAGTAATAAAAACTATTATTTATTGGCTTTCTATGTGCCAAGCCCTAAGTGTGTCTTAGTTCATTTAATTCTTGACATCATCCTATATAAGTATTATGATTATTCCCACTTAAGAGAAAATAGATTAAATGTACAAATTTCAGCACATGCCTAGTTCGTAAGTTTTTCTTCTTACAACAAATATTTGTCAAGCCCAACAACAGGAGTTACTCACAATATGACACTGCTCGGAGCCACCCAGGAGTCTGTAAGAGGTGATGCTCGACGTGAGGCCTGGGTGGGAAGGGCGAACTTGAAGGGGCAGGAAAGAGCTTGGGTGTTGTGGGGGATGGGAGTGGAAGTCAGGAAGAAATAAAACATTTGTTTCTAGCCTGGCCAGTGTGGCTCAGTGGAATGAGCGTCATCCATGGACTGAGAGGTCCCGGCTCAATTCCTGGTCAGGGCATATGCCCAGGTTGAGGGCTCAGTCCCCAGTAGAGGGCGTGCAGGAGGCAGCCAACCAATGTTTCTCTCTCACATCGATGGTTCTCTCTCTCTCTCCCTTAAAAAATCAATTTAAAAAATATTAAAACAAAAAAACATTTGTTTCTCTCCTGCTGGATGCCCCACTGACTCTGCCCCATGGGCGAGTCTGGTCTGGCCTCTCTCAGGCAGGACTGTTGGTTTGCAGGTGAGATTCAGGTGCAGAGAGACTGAGATTCTCCTAGTGCAGAGAGGAACCCTGGACCCAGGCCTCGGGCCTCCCTGCTCAGAATGAACAGCAGCTGAGGGCACAGGCTCAGGGTGTGAGTCTTGGGTTCTCCTCCTGAGCTCTGTAGCCACTGCGAATCGCCCTGGAGCCCCAGGTTCCTCCCACACAGGATGCTGAAAGGCACAGTTCAGAGAGTTTTACTTGAAATGCCTCATTTAGCCCTTGCATCCACCCACTTTGCAGAGGAGGAAACTGAGGCATGGAGAAGTTAAGTACTTTGGTCAAAGACACACAGCTAGCAGGTGGCGCGGTTACAGTCTGAGCCTCATGAATGTGGTATTTAAAGCCTTGGCATCGTGTCTGGTATGTGGTTAGTACTCAGTACCTGGAGACCATCATTGTTCTTATTAAATCCCCTCAGATCAAGAGAGGTCCTCACGCAGATGCTGGTGGAGGGCCTTCTGATAGCGTAGTGACATGCAAGCCCGCGGTGATTCTCACGCAATCACCACTTCTGACAGGCTGTCTACTTTGTTCACAGGACCAGCCTCAACCTCAGAACCTCAAATGTGGGCAATTTTGATGTAAGTACCACGCTCAGGCCCCAGAGTGGGATCTTCTGGGAATGACATTTCCATGCTTTTCTAATCGGAGACATTCATATTCTAGGGTTTGGTCTGTTCCAGCTCTGTTCATTCTTGTGCCTCCCGCCCTAATTAAGGCTTCAGAAATGTCCCTCTTTTTAAATCTTTCATAACTTGACAGTGAAGCTGATGCTTGCGACCGAGGACAAGCTGGCTGATTGCCACGTGTGCAGACAGTCAAATCCCCAGTGTGCTGCCCGTTCATTGAGCTTTTCGAACCCAAACAACTACAACCCATGGAGTAGGGATCACCAGCTTCGTTTTATAGCTGGAGAGACTGGTGCCAGGGGAGGGCAGTGATGTGCCTCACGACTGGTTTCTGGCAGGGCTGGGGCTAGAACGGGAATCTCTAGGCTCCAAGTAGAAAAAGAAGTTAGTACTTAATGTGAAATTAGTGAACATTTATGGAGCAACAGTGGTTGGCACCAGGCACTAAGTTACACTTTTGAAAAGGCAAACGAGCTTTTTAAAATTTAATCCTCACAACAAACTGATGATTTGGGTACAATTATTAGCCCGTTTTCCAAATAAGGGAGCCAAACACAAAGAGGTTAAGTGACTTGCCCAAGATCACAGAGCTAGTAGGAGGCAGGGCTGGGGTGAGTGCCGTGGTCTTGTCACTGTAGTTCCACGTGACACTATACCATGGCCAGGGTTCTACATATAGGAACTGAGCCTGGCTTTGACACCACCCTACGAGGGAAGGACTACTCGCTCCCATTTTCAGATGTGGAAACCAAGGCTTAGAGAAGCTACGAGAGATCACATATGAAGAGGCTCAAGGCTAGGCATTTTACATGATCTGCGCATAATCCTAAAGCATCCTTATGAGCTTGGCTTGCTGGCCCACTTTTCAGATGAGGAAACTGAGGGTCCGAGAGGTAAGGGAACCTTCTCAGAGGCCTAGGGAGGCTGAGCTGAGATGGAAACCAGAGTGTTGGCTACCGGGCCCAAGGGCCCTCATGACCTCATCCTGGTTTCAGAACAACCCACCACAGACCCCATGCTCTGTGCCTCCTGGGGAAGGACTGGCCCTCCTTCAGTCCCTGCCTGCCCAGGGACCTTGGACCAGAGCTCACGCTGCCTGAGGCCTCGGCCTCCCCACCTGCACAGAGCGGGCGGATCAGGTGCACCTTGGAGCTGTCCAGCTCGTGGTTCTGGAGTCACTCTGACCACCAGCTCCCAGAGCAGCTCTGCACCGTCCTCTTGGGCCACAGGGCAGCCCTTGGGGTCCCAGTAAACCGTGGCCTGGGTTGAGTTCTTGTCTTTCCCTGCAGGTTGGCCTCATGGAGGTGCTGGTCGGGAAGATTTTCGACCTGGCGTTTATGCCCGCGATGAACGGTGAGAGCGGGTCCGGGGGCCAGCGGCTACTGATCCGCTGGGCATGCCTGATGCACAGCCAGTCTACCTCCATAGCATTTCTGAGGACTCCGTTCTAAGCTGATTTATTTAAGCCTGTGAATGCAGATGTTGCCACAGGGACCAACAACTTCCTTATCTGCAGCTTCACTATATTTTTTCTTGTTCGGCTGATTGTTTTTGTTTTGCTGATCATGTACATCAAATTCTGATTGTACATAAAAATTATATGTGTGCACATTTTAGGAAGCCCAGAACAGTTTAAAAAAGAAAATCTTACCTCCCGCGGCAATTAATCTCAACATCTGGGTGTACTTCCTTCATTCTTCTTTCTTCGTATTTTTCCCCCAATACAATCCAAGATATTTCCTGATTTATTTTTATATGTTTATTTTTAATTGTGGCAAAATACTCATAACATAAAATTTATCTTATTTACCTTATTTTTAGGTGGGTGGTTCAGTATGTCAGTATTATTAAGTATATCCACATTGTTATGTTCCTGACTTTTTGTTATTGCTGTTAATCCTCACCCGAGAATGTTTTTTCCACTGATTTTTTAGAGAGAGTGAAAGGGTGGGAGAGAGGGGGCAATGAGAGAGAGAGAGAGAGAGAGGGAGACAGGCCTGAGAGAAGCACATCCATTGGTTGCCTCCTGCATGCACCCGGACAGTGGCCCGGGATCGAACCTGCAACCCAGGTACATGCCCTTGACTGGGAATCAAACCCGTGACCCTTCGGTGTGTGGGCCGACGCTCCAATCACTGAGTAACACTGGCCAGGGCTGACTTATTTCTAACTGTGTATTTATTTTTACCTTTATGGAGACTACATGCATACATTTTTATTGTAAAAATTTTAGTTATTAGAGATAAAGCTAAGGTCCCTCTTACTGATATCCCCAACCTCCTTCCTAACCCACAGTCTGCCTTGTAGGCAGCCACATTATCAGTCAGAGAGTTTTCTTGCCCAACTTCATAAATAGAATAGACAGCACATGCTTCTGCTCCTCTGGGGCTACTTGTTGGACTGTGGGACCATCTGGAGGCTGGGGCAGATGTGCCATCAGCTGGGTAATCCCATTAGGATTGGAAACCTCAGTCCCCAAGCCATCAAGCTACTCGGCCCCAGCCTCTCTCTCCTCACTTCTACTATATGGCAGAGGGGGGGGGGGGCTGGCATCAGCTGGGCCAGTCGGGGTTCATTTGGGAGCTCTCGATGTCAAACGGACCCTTATTCTGGGAACTGTCACAAGAGGAGGCTGAGTCTCTATCGCAGGAAAATGCTGGTCACAAAGCCCATGCATGTTCCCCAGTGGGAGAGGATGATGTCAGGAGCTGGGCTGGGCGGGCTGCCTGGGGAGGAAGGAGATGGGGACTCTCTTCCCGGCCAGGTCACTGGGAGGCAGTGTGATCTCGGCAGAAGTCCCTCGATGTCACTGGAATGCAATTTAGCATTCTAAAAGTGAGAGACTGAATTAGATCCATGATTCCCAAAGTGGATCCCATGGAAAATTAGTCCAAAAGATACTCTGAGAAAAGGATTCCGTGGACAAGCAAGTTTGCAAAATACTGAATATACTCCTCTGGGGCACATTCACAATGTCCTAGCTCTCTGAAAATCCTGCTGGAGTCAGAAAATCTGTTTAACTTCAATTTACCAGCTTCCCCACCGACCCTTTCCAGCCTCCCGTCCTCATTTCCTCTCTTCTGTCTGTAAAACGTTCTCTTTTTCTAGAACATTAATTGGCAGGTCTAGTTAGGCTCTGACCATTTAAAGGCAAATCGTACACCCCACGCAATCATTTGCCAGGGCCCGATGTGCACCTGCCCACGCCTTCCTTCAGCAAACATCTGTTCTCTCCTCTGTGCCTGGCCCTGGGCTGGGTCATGCTGGGACACAGTCCTTGCCTGCCAGAGACTCACACCTGGCAGAGACGAGGCGGCAGATGTGGAAACAGAGAATTAATATTTTGCGGATTCTGGAGTTGTTCTGCGTGGCAGGAGCCCAGAGTTGCTTGGCAGGGCCGGAGGAAGCCTCAAAGAGGAGGCGACATCCAAATAGTGTCTCAGGAAGACTCTGAGCTCAGCAGGCAGCAAGGGTGAGGGAGTGTGCTCTGGGCAAGAGGAACTGCAAGGGCGAAGGGCTCGAGACAAACAAGAATTTTTTGCAAATATTGGTGGCTTTCCATAGGCTTACACCTCTTGGCCACACTGATTATTCCTGATCTTTGTTTTCCCCCACAGCTGTGCTGGGCTCCGGTGTTCCTCTCCCCAAAATCCTCAACATTGACTTCAGCAATGCAGACATTGACGTCTTGGAGGTAAGGGGAGATACAGCTGTCTGCTTTCCCCGCCAGGCCCAGGAATCGGGAGGAGGAAGAGAAAGGAAGGAAGGGTGGGGCAACAGAGGCCTCTCCCTTCAAAGGATGGGGCTGAGGGGATCAAAACAAAGCTGTTAAGATGGGTGGATAAAAAAGCTATGGTACATATTCACAATGGAACACTATGCAGCTGTAAAAAAGAAAGATCTCTTATCCTTTGAGATGACATGGAGGGACCTGGAGACTTTTATGCTAAGCGAAATTAGCCAATCAGAGAAAGACAAATACCACATGATCTCACTTATTTGTGGAATATAATGAACAAAATAAGCTGATGGACAAAATAGACTCAGAGACATAGAAAGGAGTACAGTTCAGACTGACAAACCTCAGAGGAGGGTGGCGAGGGGGATGGATGAGATAAACCAAAGAATTTATATGCATGTGTGTGTAACCAATGGACATAGACAACAATGCTGGAGGGGGGAAGGGGAGGGCGGGATTGGGAGGAGGGTGTGTAGGTGGGGGAAAAGAGAAACATCTACAACAAAAATAAATTAATTAAAAAAAAAAAGAACAGTAAAAAACAAACAACCCCTGCCCACTTAACAGTTTGCTATACATGTGTAAAATAAACCTTTTATTTCCTTAAAAAAAAAAACCTCAGATGAAGCTTTTCACATGCACAAGCTTGTCTAGTCCTCTAGACAGATGTCATTGCCCCATCTTACAGATGGGAACATTGAGGCTCAGAACAGTAAGGGGTTTGCCCAAAGTGGAAGTGTGATGCTGTTCCTTGGACAGACTTACTGAGCACTTACTGTGTCCAGACAGCGTGCAAGGGGCTAGGGACACCACAGCGAACAAAACATGCATCATGCTGGTCCTTACAAAGCTCTCCCGCCAGTGGGGAGACGGGCCTTTGAGTAAATATTCCTGAAGTCATTGCTGATTATAATCATGGCAGGTGCTTTAAAATTCAAATGTAGGGGCTTTGTTTCCATCATTAAAACTAAAAACCACATGTACTCAGTATCTGACATTTGGAAAATAGAGAAAAGATTCGACAAACACATGTTCATCTTCCTAGATATATATGTAACCCAGAAATTACCACTGGGAACATTTTCCTGTTTTTTATTCTAGTTTTCCTGGCATTTTATTTTGAAACATGGCTTTGATCAGGGAGAGCACTGGGGTTAAAGAATGAGGGCACTGGAGCCCAACGGCCTGGGTTCAAATCCTGACTCTGCCAGTTCCAGCCGGGTGACCCTGGGCAAGCTACTTAACTTCTCTGAGCCTCAGTTTTCTCCTCTGCAAAACGAGACTAATCACAGTACCTACCCCTCAGGCTGCTTTTAGGATCCAATAAGATTCCGTGTGTAAAGTGCTTGTACAGCCCTGGCACCTACTAAGCATTCTAGAAGTGCCCATCACTATCAGTGTCTTCACTCCAACAGAACGCTGCAGTGAGCATCTTGGTGCACAAAACTGCTTCTGGATTCAGGATTTAGTTCCCTGGAACACACTCACAGAGTGGAATGAAGGGCCTCTGCCCCAGACCGACAATTTCCTTTCCAGAAGGTGGCACCATTTGTACTTTGCCGGGGTGCAGGGAGCCCAGATCCTCACACTCATGCCAGGCTTGGACCTCGGCTCAGGGGGCAGCCGCCTGCCACCTTCGGGGAACAGTCGAGGGAGGTGCAGTGACCTTGGATGAGCAATGTGGGCAGGGGTCCGATGCAGGCTCTGGGACAGTCCACAGGGCTGCTGGTCCTGGTGCCTTCTCTTGAGTTCCTACAGGACCTCGGCACTGCTCTGAGCCTCAGTTTTCTCATCTGAAAATGCGGAAAAACGGTACTCATTTCATGGAGTTTCTGGTGAAGAATTAAATTAGTACAGCATTTTAGTGTCAAGGGGATAGGAAATATGAATGGAATTGGTACAAATTCACTATCATCATCATTTCTACCATTTGCGGAGCATGTACGGTGCCCCATGCACTGTTCTATGTGCATTTGGGGCTCACCACAACCTTGCTTGATGTTTGCCCTCACGTTATAGGTGAAGGACCTGAAAATCAGAGATGGTAGACCACATGCCCAAGGTCACCCAGCTAGTGAGGGGTACAGTTTGTCCTGAAACAGTTGAGGCAGCTCAAACCAGTGGCTCTCAACGGGGGCTGTATTGTAACTCCCGTTCCCAACCTGAGATCCTTTTTGAAATTAATGGTGATGAATTTTTCTTTCCTGAATAATCATGCTTGAGTATTTTGTATCAAAAAACATTATTATATTATAAATTATTTACCTTGTTTTTCTTCTTTATATTCCAGTAAGGGAATTATACTGGTTTTTTAAAATAGATGTGTAAGTAGATTATATAATCTATGGATTTTTATTCCAGAATAATAAAAGAGACAACACAAATACCAGTAATAAAATGTAAAATGGGGTGTTGGGTCTGAAAGGGGAGATCCATGAGCTTAAAGAAAGACTCAGAGAATCTTGAAGGTCTGTCAATGGTAGCTATTCTTCTTATTATTATATAGGTCTAGTCATTTATTTAAAATTTTTATTTTGAAATAATTTTAGGCTTACTGAAAGGTTGCCGAAATAGTACAGAAAGTTCCAGAATACTCTTCACTCAGCATCTTACATAATCAGAATGCAGGATCAAAACCAGGACATTATCATTGATCCAAAGCTGTTAGCTACTCTACAAACCTTATTCACCGGGGTTCCCACTAATGTCCTTTGTCTGGTTCAAGATCCCACTTTGCATTTGGTTGTCACCCCTCCTTAGTGTCCTCTAATCTGTGACAGTTCCCTGATTTTCCTTGATTTTATCACCTTTACATTTCTGATGGGTCAGGCCCGTTTGGGGAGATGTCCCTCAATTTGGATGTGACTGCTGGTTTCTCATGATTAGGTTGAGGTTATGTGTTTCTGGCAAGAATGCCACCAGTGGGATGCTGTGCCCTTCTCCGTGTGCTTGACGGGGGCACATGATGTCAGCAGCTTATTCCTGGAGATGTTGAATTGATCATGTGATCAAGGTGGTTTCTGTCAGGTTTCTCCACTAAGTTACTGTTTTTCAATTTGTTACTAATAAATACGTCCTGGGGAGATCCTTCGAGGTTATGCAAATATCCTGGTTTTTTATCACACTTTCTCCCACTAATTTTGGCATTCATCAATGGCTCTTCCCTGCAGGTTCTTGCTGTGGTACTTGCCTAACGGTGATTTTCGATTTCTCGAGTTCCTTTTACACCCATTCGCTGGAATTCTGCGGGAAGGAAGGGCCGTCCCTTGCCCACCATTTTTTAATTTACTCAATTATTGATGTCAGTGTGAGCTTATGGGCATTTATTTGTTCTAGGGGTTAAATCTATTACTTTTCTTATTTATTTTGCTATAGATCATTTTAATCATGAAAACTGGATTTTGAAAGAATATGGAGGGGGGTGCAGACCTGCTTCTCTTATTTGGGGGAAGGAGATGAGGGGCAGGGAGGGAAGCATTTTGCCCAAGGTCCCCTGCAAGCTAATGACATGGCCAGCATGATCCTCAGGCCCCTTGGACCCCAGTGCCCCCACTGTTCAGAGTTACTGCTTCCCAGAATGTGACTGGCCTGGTCCAAAGGCAAGTAAGTGACTACCTGCCGAGGCTGCAGCCAGAAGCCACCCCACCCACTAACTGGGCTCTCTGTTCCGTCTGCCCTCCAAGGACCTGCTGGTGCTGAGCGCCTGAGCGACAGGAGGCAAAGATGCTGCTGCAGCCGCAGAAGAAGGCAGAACCAGCCCTGGAAAGGCTCGGCCTGACAGTCCCCTGCCCTGCGTCCCTTCAGCCCCCACAACAGGCTCCTCCCCAGCGCTCTGACCCTCTTCCCAGTCGTCTCCCACCCGGAGGAAGGATCCAGCCTTTGCCCCTGTTGGCAAACAATTCTGTCCATGGTCAGCCCCCCGCAGGAGAGGACGGTCCCCTCGAGGACTGAGGCCTTCCGGACTCCATGTCGGACTCCACGCTGAGTGCTTTAACCTTTCAATAAAAGATGCCACTTTCCCTGCAGTTGGGGCACGTCTCCACAAAGGACCCTCTCCCTGCGTCTGGGTGTTGTTCCCCCCGTGGCTGTGCTGGGGGCTCCTGGCAGTTGTAGCTACAACTGGATAAAGGATGGTTTGGTTCATGACTGGAAATGTCAGACCCCTCTGGGGGCCCTGCGCTGGCAGCGCAGGAGGGGCTGTAACTCAGTTCTCACTGCCTTCGTTCAGCGCCCAGCTTGGCCGATCCCTCTTGCTTGGTTCCCCCCGCCATTCTTCAGCCCATGGGAAGAGCCAGGATTCAGAAGCTACAAGTTCCAAAGCATCAGCCTTCACACTGCCAGCAGGATTCCTTAGAGCCCAGCTCTGTGTGCCTGCTGACAGGGTCTCCTCTCCTGGCTCAGCTTCGGTGGCCCTCTGCCCCTTCCCTTCCTCTACTGTATTCCCAAGCCCAGAGGGTGGGTCGGTGCCTCGCAGGTCCCAGGGGAGAGGTAACAGTAGACAGCCTCTGCCCCGTCCTCCTGACAGTCATGCTTGTTGGGTGCTCACTGGCGGCTGCCCTGCACCGAGGCTTTGGGACTTGATCTCATTTGACCTCATGAGAGCACCGTGAGGTAGGTACCAGGATGGTCCTTATCGTGCACATAGGTAGACTGAGGCACTGAGAAATGCACAACTTGCCCAAGGTCCCACAGCAAAGTGGCAGAGCTGGGGTTTCAACCTGGTGATTTAGCTCCAGGGCCCATACTCTGACCACCCGCTATATTGATTCTGTTCATCGGTTTCGGGAGGAAGCCCTGGGCTGAATTTGGCCTCAAAGCTGTTTAGTCCCAGAGCAAAGAGACCATAAAGAGTCACACACAGGCACCTCAATGCTTCTATTAGAAGGCTGGCGTGTCACTTCCACTCACATTTCATTGGCCTAAGTGAGTCACATGACCCTGCCTGACCTCAAGGAGGAAGTGTGATCTTTCCTATGTCCAAGAAGGGGAGAAAAACCAGGGATGCTGGTGAGCTAAGTAATGTCTTCCTCACTCTTCTGTGTCCTCCCGGGTAGGTGGAGGCTGGACATGTGGCCGAGGCGGAGCAAGGCTTCTGCTGCCATAGAAATTCTGCAGAAATACAAGGCACCGCATGCCTTCAGGGCCCGGCTGGAGAGGCACAGATACTGCCGCAGCCCCGAAAATGAGCAAGGGGGCTCCCAAATCAGTTCTTTACGAGCATATCCTTGGTTTCTAGAAATAAAGCCTAGTAACTGTTCAGTGAAACCTGTTGGGTTGTTTGGTTCAGTATTGGATTCCTGGCCACTTCATTCATTCATTCACTCACTCATTCATTCATTCACTCACTCGTTCATTCATTCACTCATTCACTCACTCGTTCATTCATTCACTCATTCACTCACTCGTTCATTCATTCATTCATTCACTCACTCATTCATTCATTCATTCACTCATTCATTCATTCACTCACTCATTCATTCAGTGCCTATCAATTCTGCCCTCATGAAGCTTAGATTTTAATCCATAAGACAGACTTTAAACAATAAGTCTAAGAAAATAAGTAAATAAGTAAAAAAGAAGCTCTTTCCAGATTGTCTTGAGGACTATAAAGGGAATACGCAGGGATGGAAGGGGGCAGGGAGGCACCACTGAGTGGCCAGAGAAAACCTTTCTGAGTTGGAAACACACCATCAGTCCCCTCTGGGGACTTACAGGCAATCACCCTTCTCTTCCCCCATTCCAGGGTCTCTGTCTCTCCTGGTCTCCTCGGTAACGCCCAAACCCTAGCTCCTTTTGAGGGGCTCGGAGAGAAGTGAGTGTGACTTCCTGTCCAGCCTGCCCCGAGAAGGCTAGTGGGGAGGAAATCCCACCGGAAAGGGCAGTGTCTGGACAGAGAGCTCAGAACTCGACTCCCAGGCCAGCGGGTCATGGCTGCGCTACCCTACTGTGTTAGAACCACCTCCTATGAAAACCCTCATGAATTCACCCATTTGTTTCTGTTTCTTACTTTGCCTGCTCCTTCTCCAATCACGTCTCCCTGGACCACTGCTCCAGCCTCCTCACCACTGCCCGCCAGCCTGGTCTACTCCCACCCCCTTCTCCAGCTCTATCTCCCAGTCCTCTGCTGGGCGAGGGGCAGCACAGCCCTCTTAGTTCCTCACACCCCTTCCTCAGACACCGAAACACACCCACATCCTTCTACACATTTAATTTTTTTCTGCTATTTAACTTTGGAAAGAATTTTCGTAACTCTTGGGGAAATTTTTGGATTATAAATAATTCATTCCATCTTCCATTTGCTATGATTTCTTAAAAGTCAGAGGACATGCTAGGATATTCTTTCAAAGTGAAAAAGTGGAAGTATTTGGAAAAATTGAGAAGGAGGAAAAGACAGAGTTAGAACGTAGGCAGAGTAGCATGGGGTTGAGAGTCCTAATGGCAACAGATGGTCTGGAATCTATGCTTGGACTTCTGGGGCGCTGACAGGTGCTAACAGAAGCCTGAGGCCTGATGGGATGTGTGCTGCTGACTCAGCATCTGGCCTGGTGGTTCCGGCCTTGGACCATCCCTGCCCGTGTTTGAGTACAAACTTCCCAATACCTTTTCTTTGTTCATCCTTATGCTTCTGACCATGGTCTTTTCAGAGCCCTCTGGGAATCTCGAAGGAGGCAGGACCCACAGCCCCACCTTGGGGCTCCATAGGTAAAAAGAACCTTGTGCCTTCTGGGGTTATTGGATTGGTCTTTGGGTTGGGCAAAGCATGATGGGGAGAAGCCCACTTCTGCCGGTCAGGTCTGACGGAGGCAGGAGATGGACAAGGAAGCAGGCACCAGGTATCACTGCCTAGCAAGAGCCAGGAACAGAGAGAGCTGTTTGCCACCGGTTATCTTGTGAAATCCCCACAGTCCTTCTGAGGACAAAGGTAGTATCCTCACTTCACAGATGAGGATGGGAGGCTCAGAGATGGTAAGTGACTTGCCCAAGTTCACACAGCAGCTAAGTGGAGGAACCGGCCTGAGTTTGACTTGAGAGGCTGCTCTCATCCTCTTCACTGCAGGGATAGAGGCTCAGAAGTAGGAAAGCCCGGGGGGTGTGGGGACAGGAAAAGGACTGGTTAGAGCAGCTGAGCAGCAGGACATGGGGGTCTGGAAGGCTGGCTGAAGGGTTGAGATGTTCTCCTGTGGGCAGTGGGGAGCTATGAAATGTTCTTGAGGAGGAGGTGAACCTGATGTTGGTATTAAATATGCTGAGGGGACAAGGTGGACTGCAGTGGAAAGGCTGGAGCCTCAGCCAAGGCCTTGGAGGAAGAGAAGAGACCACTGACGTGGGCCCGTCATTGCTGCTTCATTCTCCCATTCATTCCTTCTAGCAACGAGTAAATTAATTCACAGATAAAAGAACTAACTGAAAAAAACCCCATCCACTTCATTAAAACATCTATTTCCAAATAAATATTACTCTGTTTTTAATTATCATTACAATTTTAATAGACTTTACATGACTATTAATTGTAATGATAACAACCTAAAAGATTATTGTAAATAATCAAAGGAGATTTGAAAAATATTTTAATCAAAATACATATTGTTGATACTTCCCTGTTCAACTTCATCCCCTGTTCTTTCCCCATTTGTTAGCTCTGCGACATCTTTGCTGGCTTTCTACCTATTCCTTTAACACACTGGCACCTTGCACCCCAGGGCCTTTGCACATGCTGTCCCTGCTGCCTGCATTGCTCATCCCCTAGATATAATGATGGCTGCCTCTCTTACCTGCAGTCTTTACTCTAAGTCACCTTCTCAGTGAGGCCTTCTCTGACCTCTGTATCTAAAATCCCCCCCTTCGCTGAACCCTCCACACTCCCTCCCTTTCAATTTTTCCCGTTATAGGACACCAGTCATATGGAATTAGGCCTGACCCTCATGACCTCCTTCTAACTCCTTTAAACGCCCTATCCAAAATACAGGCACATTCTGAGGTACTCGGGGTTGGGACTTCAACACAGCAATATTGGGGTGGACACAATTCATCCCAGAAGCATGGGAAGATTCACTCAGTACAAATTCCTCCAGCTCTGGGCTTATGACGTGTGCACTTTATGTATCTATGTTCTGCTTTAATGGAGAAGACATGAGAAGCACCGGATTTATATAAATTCTATTACTCAGTACAAAAAGGGTTGGGGTTTCCTCCGGTGGAGATTGTTCTGACTAAGGGTCATAGTGTGTCTTTCAAGGCTGTAGGACAATGCCCCACATACGTCCCCAGGCCTTGAACAGTCAGAGAAAGGAAGGGCACAGCAGGTTCCACGACCAGACTGTGCAGAAGAGCTGGCTGCAGGTGGGGAGAGCGGCAGCCAGGCTGGTTTGCCCCATCCCCAGTGGATGAACCTCTTGCCAACCCTCCCAGATGGACATCTCCAGCCTGACGTAGCTCTTTCATGGTAGGGACAAGCTGAGGCTTCGAGACTAGCAGGGACTTACGAGGGGGCCACCTTGGCTCCGGCTCTGAGCACTCTCGGTCTGACTCAGCCTGGTCATGCTGAGTCCCTCAGGCCTGGAATCGGGCCCGGCATCCCTGACGGAGCTGTTTGTCTTCCTCCTGCTGAGTGAGGTGTGAACTGGGCAAAGAGCCTGCAGGCAGGGCAGGATACCAGCTAGCCCTCCCCAAGCAGCCTGCCCAGTCCATGTGCCCCTAGGCCCGGCCACCTTGTGACTG